GGCTCTGATACCATGTTGGTTTTCTTTTTTCAAACAAAGACATAAATGGAGAGAAGATCGGGTAGATGATGAAGAGCAGAACATAAACTAAAATGGAGAGAGGTATATGACTTCAACTCACCTTTTCTCATTAATAAACTGTTCTATATATAGGAGAATACAATCTTAATTCAAAATTCAAACAACTTTCTACATTAAAAAACAAAAAGTACATTTTAAATTTGAACAATAACAGCCACTTTTCCCGCATGCTTGCTGTTACTCTTCAGCCACTTTGCAGCTTTCATTTCATTTGCATTTGCATTTCATGTGCATTTCATTTGCTGTTTGCATTTGCTGCCCGTTGCAACCTCATTTCAGCCTCATTTCAACCTCATTTCATCAACATTGCAGCTCAGCTTGCTACACATTGTTGCTGTCATTTTACAGCTTCATTTTCACCATATTTGCAGCTAAATTGCTGCCATATTTGCTATCAAATTGTAGCTTCATTTGCTGTCAATTTCCAGCCTCATTGCTGCCATTTCATGGTAGTTTCATTTCTTCATTTCTGCAGATTTGATTGCCACGTTTCTAGCAATAATTCCAACAAGCTTCATTTTCACTACATTGCAGATAAATTGTTGCACTTTGCTGCTACCGTCCTATTGGTGCAACTCTCCCTTCTTCATTTTGTTGCCATTTTGTGCAGCCTTTCATCTTCATTTGTTGCTACTTTTGCAGCGTGAACACCACAGCTCCAACACTCCTCGTTGGTGTTAAAGCTGTAAAATCAAAATGACAATAGATTTATGCCTAAGTACCTGGGATCAGCCCTTTGCTGTCCATCTTGTGCTTGGTTTTCACCATTTTTTTTCATCACAGTCATGTACCATCCTTCTCAAACAACCTCAGCTACTCCTTCATTACAGCTTTCCTTTTTTTGGATTTTGCTGCCTCAAACAAATTTTGGACGTTTTGCAATGAAATTGCTTTTTCTAAGTAAATAAAACAAGGAATTGGTACCTCAAAGTGTTGCTTCATCATCTTTTTCATCTTTTACAGCTTTCTCAGGCTAAAGATTTGGCTACTCGGTCATGAAAATGACTTGATGCAATGGTGAGTACTCTTGTGTTCCCAACTTGCACCTTCACAAGCCATCCTTGCCTTTTTAGACTAATGCTGTAGCATAAAACACCACCCATACCAGCAACATAAAATATCATCAAACCATCATTTTTTGATCTTGCTTCTTGTAGATCTTCTGCCTCAAGAAGATTGAAGGACATTAAGTTAACCTTCAACTTCACAGCTTCACATACTCTCTTCTGCCTTAACAAATTGGTTGTATCCTTTTATCAACCACTTTCAAAGATTGAAGGACCTAAAGGTAACCTTTATCATCACAGCATCTTTGCTGCATTTTTGGTCAGAGGAGTTCGCTGTGTTGGGTCAGAAAAAAAAGGGTATTTTGAAAGAAAAAACTTGCTGGCAACAATTTGGGTTTAGTCGGAGTTTATGATGGTCTATTTCCCTCAAATCTCTCTCACACAGGCCCTCAAAGATCATGAAAGGCTCTGATACCATGTTCAGATTTTTTATCAAAGAAAATGGAGAGAATTTCGGGAGAAGAAGATGAAGAGCAGAACACATAAAATGGAGAGGAGTATATCACTCCAACTCAAATTTTCTCATTACAATCTTTACTATTTATAGGAGAATACAAACTCAATTCAAAATTCAAATCTAAGCAACTATTCTACATTTAAAAACAATAAAAGTACACTTTAAATTTGAAAATAACAGTCACTTTTGCAGCATGCTTGTGTCCTTTGGCAGCTCTGCAGCATGCTTGGTCCCTTCACTTGCATTTGCATTTCATTTGCTGCTCATTTGCAACTTCATTTCATCAACATTTGCAGCTTAGCTTGCTGCACATTTTTGCTGTCATTTGACAACTTCATTTTCACCATATTGTAGCTAAATTGCTGCACTTTGCTGCTACTGTCCTATTGGTGCAACTCTCCCTTCTTCATTTTGCTGCCATTTTGTGCAGCCTTTCATTTTCATTTGCTGCTACTTTTGCAGCATGAACACCACAGCTCCAACAGTTTATGATGATTTGCGGTGTGGCAATTCTTAAGTCCAGTATTCTCTCATAGACTGCTCTAGTTGACTCCAAGGTACCCAGGCTTTCCTCCAAGTCTGCATAGAAAGTCCACAATCTAAGTGATTTGTGCACTTTCATCTGCACAGGTTCATTCCCATCAGCAGCCACTGCAAGCAAAATAACATAGCATTACCAAATCAAGAGTTGTTTGTGATTCCACAAACACTGGTAATGAAAATTCAACTTATTTTTTCCTACACTTAGTGCAAACCAAATTCTCTTAGTGAAAAGCCAGACCAAGCAACAAATAAGCACTAGTCATTTAAACAGTTGCATGGATTTCTCTCAACCAAAAAACTTTCCTAATAACTGTTTACTAACAAAGAGGGAATATGTAATTAAGAGCACTTATGTCACTAAAAAAGCAGAGAAAAACTTAACAAGCATTAATTTTGAAGCTCAAACAAATGAAGGATTGCTTGATTTGTGA